ACTTTTATGCTTTTTGTAGGAGAAAATCAAGTTCTATGTTTGCGTTATCTGCTAAGCCTAAAATGCTTCATCTGCCTGCAGAACCCACAAAGAATAAGTAGGCTCTCCTTGGGCATGTCAAGGTAAATAACTAAAAAATAAATCAAAGGGAGTGGCTGGATGAGGGAGGGAGGGCAGCTGTTGCTCTCTCAGCTCTCCACTTCCTAGGGCCTAGAGTGAGGGCCTTCAAGAAGAAAAGAAGCCAACAAAAAATGACTTGGGCCTGGAAGATACGGCTTTATCATGAGGACTCAGATATTTCTCCACTAATAAAATGAAAACTAGCTTATTTAGAATACCCTTAGCTAGAAGGAAGTAGGTTTTTATAAAGCTGGGAAAAGTCAGGTACTCCTATATACCCTGGTCCTCAAAAGTCCTGGGAACTGGTGTTAGCAAAACCAGTCTACAGCAGGTCTAAGCTGCTGGGCCCTTTGGAAAAGCTGGGGGAAAACATTCACTAGGCCCAAATGGGTAAACTACCCCATGTTCTATCCCAGAATTAAACGAACTATGTGGGCCATCATAAGCCATCTATTTTGTACATATGAAGACAAGAGGAACAGAGTCAAATCCTGGTTCCACCAAGTCAGTTGTGACTTTGAACAACAAACTCTTATTTGTTAAGTCTAAGTTCCTCACCTGGAAAACAGGCTGTTCTGAGGATTAAGCCCCAACTCACAACAAGTACAAATACTAATAAGAACTCAGTACATAAGAACCAGGCATTCAGCACTGAGGCAAGCAAGGCTTCACATCCATAATTTAATTCCTACAAAGACTCTACCAATTAGGTATTAGAATGCTAAATTTACAGGTGAAGAAAGAAACTGAGGCAAGGAATTAAGTAAATTTCCTAACATACACAGCTTACAAGTGGGAAGCCAGAGCTCTAATCTGGCCAGCCCAGTTCCAATGACTGCATTCTTCACCACTAGGCCCATTTATTTAGATATATAAGGTTATATCTCTATGCCTCAGTTCATCATCTATAAAACTGAACTAATACATTTTGCCTCCAAGGTCATTGTGAAGTTTAAATCAAATAACCTATATAATACCAACTATAATACAAGTAGCTCTAGTAGGAAAAGTTTTTTGTCCAGAGACCTGATTTGAATCCCAGCTCTGCCATTCACTCCATAAATGGTCACAGATGAGTTGCTCACCCTCAATGGGCCACACTCTCCACAGCTGTAACACTGGACTCACTGATTAATTTATTCATTCTCTCAAAATATGTGTTGTGTGTCCACCATACACCAAACGTTATCTACATCCTAGCACTACAGCAACAAACACAACAGACAAGATCCATGCACCTTTGTGGGACTTACTTTCTACAGGGAAGGCAGAATAATCAACATATAACATGCAAGATGGTTAAGATGGTTATGGGTAGTAAGCACATAACATGCAAGATGGTTGTGGGTAGACCGGGGAAAATAATGCAGGGCAAGGCAAAAAGGGGAATGTCAGTGATAGGCAGGGGTGCCTCGCTATTTCATAAAAAGCTGTCAAAGAGCACCTCGCTGATATGATGACATTTGAGACAAGGCCTGAAGGGATCAGGGACACCAGAGAGAAGAGAAAGTGCAAAGCCCCTGAAGGAGGAGCTGGTTTGGGCATGCTAGAAAAACTGCAGGGTCAGTAGCTGGTGCGGGGAAGCAGGAGAGGGTGGGGCGCCAGGAGTAAGGAGAGAGCGCAGCCAGGGCAATGGTACAGGGCTTTGGAGGCCCTTATCTGGACTTTTACACTGAATAAAAAGGAAAGGCTTTGATTTGGGGGCAGAGATGGGACATGATCTGACTTACATTTTTAAAAGATTATTGATTACTGTGTGGAAATGCACTACAGTGAGGCAAGGATGGAAGCCCAGAGGCCAAACAGGAGAGGCCTGCAGCATCCAGGTGAGACAAGAGAGGCGAACTGAAGCGGTGGCAGCAATAAGGTCGTGAGGACTGATGGAAGACATGCAGAAGGCAGGGCTGCACAGAGGCAGCCAGGGAGGGAGAGGAGAACTGAACTCTCAGTGGCATCATCTGGAAGCCAAGTGAGCCAAGGAGGGAGGAATCAACACGTCAAATACTGCTGCAGTCTGAGTAAGATGAAGACTGAAAATTGATCCTTGGATTTGGCAAAGTGGAAGTTGTTAGTGTTGGGCAAACTGTTTCAGTGGAGGGGTTGAGATGACTGAGAGTCCAGTCCCAATGGGTTTAAGAGAGAAAGGGAACTGGAAAGCAATACTAATGGAGATAAAGGGAAAGGACAAAAATAATGACTTCACAGAGCAATTTAAAAGGATACAGTTTTGACTCTGAAATCATATTCATGTTATGCATATTCAAAAATTAAATCAATAAAAATAGGGTAAAAAAACTCTAAAATTGAATACAAATAAAAACAAACAAATCTAATTGTGTTTCAAATGACTAACCCAACAACGGCTGTACAAAGAATGAAACCAAACAACTTTTAAATTCAAGAACATACTATAGTACACTTTTAGCCTAAAAACAAAGAGAACCACTTTAACAAACAAATCTTGAACTGGAAAAGTTCCAGATTTGTTTATTAAAGTGGTTCTCTTTGTTTATTAAAGTGTTTCTCACTGTTTTTCACAGTGGAAAGGGTGGAGTAATTCTGTAACTATGTGCATATATTACAGAATTGAGTAAATCAGCAGATATGGTGATGTTGTCAGAGCCAGGGTTCTTACTGTTGGAGAAGGGAAGTAAAAATATGGAAGTGGGAAAAACAGGAAAGAACCCAGTGAGTTTGGACTGGAATTAAAGCCACCATTGTGAAGTAATGATTTTTTTAAAAAATAAATTATGCATTTACACACACACACACACACACACACACACAGCCTGCTAAAGGGCCTAGACACAATGGTACCCTCGTAGCAATGAACACACCTAGCACCAAATCTTGGTTGTTAAATATCATTCCTCACTAAAAGGAATCAAGGCTCTTGGAGAAATGGCTCATTCAGGGCAGGAGCAGTACAGGATGTGCATGGAAAATCTATTTTGTCCCAGAAAGTAAGGAAGTGCTCCCAAAAAGATGGAGACATGTCGAAAGAAACTGCCACTTACCAAATCTGGGACAATATGATATGAATGTCAGAATGGATAATAGTCCATTGAATAAAATAAGAATCTTCAAGTCCCCACTGATCATAAACAAAGAAACAAGAAATATATTAATAAAAGGAGTTTAACAGAGAACGCATCCTTCTAGTAAATGCCACCTAATACAAATGAAGAAGGAATGTGATTTAAAAAATGTTACTGTTGGCCGGGCGCCGTGGCTCAAGCCTGTAATCCCAGCACTTTGGGAGGCCGAGACGGGCGGATCACGAGGTCAGGAGATCGAGACTAGACTAGCCTGGCTAACACGGTGAAACCCCGTCTCTACTAAAAAAATACAAAAAACTAGCCGGGCGAGGTGGCGGGCACCTGTAGTCCCAGCTACT